TCGTGCCACTCGATTTTTACCAATGATTTGGGCATGAGACGGGTCGCCGCGAAATTCGTACCAAAATTGCTCACTTTCGACCAAAAATCATCGTTGCTTGTGCGCGAATTTTTGGCCAAAAACAACACACTAATGATACCGCAGCCACCGTATTCCCCAGACCTGGCCCCCTGTGACTTTTTCTTGTTCCCGAAACTGAAGAGGCCCATGAAAGGACGACGCTACGCGACGATTGAGGAGATAAAGACGGCATCGAAGGAGGAGCTGAACAAGATCACAAAAAGGATTTTTTGAAGTGCTTCGAAGATTGGATAACGTTGGCACAAATGTATAATATCTTATGGGGATTACTTTGAAGGGAACAACATAGATATTCATGAATAAATAAATAATTTTTGAAAAAACACAAAATTCGCGATACTTTTTGAACAGACCTCGTAAACTTCCAAACGTGAAAAATATTATTCGTTGGAGCAGCTGCTCAAATATACAAATATAAAATAATAAGTCGTGAGAAGCAAGATGTGAAGAACGCTGCAACATAAAACATAAAAAATTATATAGATAACGGAGGAGGGCTGATACTTGGAGACAATAGTAATTTATAATTTTGAATATACAGGGTGTTACTTAAAGACCGCCCACCAAGTACATAGCGTTATTCCTTATAAAATTCTGTGTTGAAAAGTCCTGAACCATTTTTTTCTATAATGCTTATTAATGGAAGAGTTAAGTCAACCCACTGAGCGCCGGCCTTTAGCCGGGCGCACGTCATTGAGCCGCGCGCCTGGAAGTGTGCGTGAGCGCTCGGCCGCCGCAGCCGCGGCGGCGCGGTTCTCGCTCGCGCCGCTATCGCGTAATATTACGTATCGTAATATTAGAAATAAATTTTTCTTATGCCTAGAATTATATTCCTCCTATCAGTACCTCCTTTTGTAGAAAATCTTGACGGATAGCGCTTTTGCCAAGACGTAATCATTACTATGAAGAATTTGACAAACACCAAAAAAAATTATGTGTTTTACAAAAATTATTTTCCGAACAATCTATGTTTTTATAAATCTTTGCATTCGCACTTAATTATTAAGACAAATCGTTTATTGAATCTTTTTACGAGTGATTTCATCCAGTTACTCAGAAGTAATAAATTTTGTAAGAGAAGTCTCTTATAACAATTAGACATTTAAATAACACTGTGGCGGCCTACGGCAGCTACAGGCGCCGGGCACCCGGCAACCACGCGGTCACGCGCACCTGACGTTTAGCACCGGGCGCCCGGCCCCCGACATAGGCGCCTGGCGCCAGCCTCCACTCCGGGCGGCCGCGCTAGTTCGCGGCGCCGCCGCTACGTGGCGGATTCTCTCGGGAGTGAAATTTAGTGAGCACCAGGATATAAGGGAGGAAAATGCGAGCATTTTCACTTCACTTCGGCGCTCAGCCGCCACGGCACCAGCGCATAGACGCTGTTTCTTGCGCCCTAGACGCATACAAGCGCTGAGTCGCTCTCCGGATATATAAGCGCTGAGTCGCTCTACTTCAGGCGCCTTAGACGCCCCAAGCGCTGAGTCGCTTCACTCCGTGCGCCTTGGCCGCACAAAAGCGCTTAGTCGCTTCACTCCGTGCGCCTTGGCCGCACAAAAGCGCTTAGTCGCTTCACTCCGTGCGCCTTAGCCGCACAAAGCGCTTAGTCGCTTCACTCTGT